TAATCCATCGACCAGAACAACAATATCCCTCAGTGCTGAGGCATCTTCTGCTGTTTTGATTGAGCAAAGTAGGAAGGTATACCGCTCCAAAATGGCCGCCATATTTCCTGCGCCGGAGCGGTCCATGAGGCGTCTATGCTTATATTATGTATATGGGGAAACGCGGATTGACGTAACACCGGCTTGATTTTTTCCCAACACTTCGCTAACATTCGGCATGCTAAGCTAAATATGTTAACACCGAGCCCTTTGGCGAACGTGACGTCTAGGTTGAGCTCAACTCAAAATAATAGTTATAAACCATCTCAGAAAAAAATTACTTACCAAGCGCAGTAAATAACGCAAACATGTGGAAAGTAAATAGTCCTGAAATAACTTGGCTTCTGTCGCTTCGCTTCGGTGGGAATCTGTGATTCTGGGGCGGAGTCAGTGAATTAACTCCTTCAGTGTTATAGCCGCTGGTGGAGTTCAGAGTTAATAAGTCAAAAGTTATTGATTCTATTTTAACACCTCTAGATTTGATACGGAAACACTTTGTTTTAACACTTTAGTTGAACTACTAATAATATACACCCCAGTTACATAAACAGAATGTGACTCTATAAGAGTAAAATTAACTCTGCTTTTGCACAAAGTCTACTAACACCAAAACATTTAACACTTTTGAATTTGCTGTGTGAAACATGCATGCAGACAAGTTTCAAATAACTGCACGGCTGCCTCTGCATGCCATACAGTGCTGCACAAGCTTGTTAATCACACTTTCATTTAAGTCAGTTGTGTGACAGCAAGAAAACAAGACTTGCATCAACTTTCACCTGTCTGTCCATCTGTCTGTCCATCTGTCCTGTCAGCCAAGACGGCTGACAGGATGTTTCTTGTGATAATAGTTTAAAATGAATATCATTCCCCAAGTTGGTCAACTTTTTGATATAGTATTTTTTGTATTTTTTCCTGTTTGTCTCTTTCTCCAGAAGTTAACTTCACTGCAAACATAACATCAATATTTTACAGCCAAATTTCGATACCAAAGATCTCAGCATTACAGGCAAAAAACTTTAACATGTTGGCATAAAACACAAACAACCCTTTGAAGGATCCTTACAGAGATCAGATGACAGACCTGAATGGTCTCCACACCCAGTTCATCTGAGTCTCTGCAGCAATAAATCAGCACCTCACCTAATCACTCTGCTCCCAGATCAGCTTCATCCTCACTCAGCTCCAGGACACATCAGATAACCGGAAGCCACCACAGACAGTCTGCCCGTCTGATCAGCCCCCTGTCAGGCAGCTGAGTGAGAACAAAGCAGAGGACTGAGTCACATGACCGCCAAGGTCCTCGTGACCTCATGGACTCCTAGTACACAGCGTCAAGTGGTGCGGAGGAATGTCTATCCCCTCGGGATCCACACCAAGCTTATTACACACTTCAAATTAAAGCGGCTCTCTTGGCCAGAGCCTAATTGTTATTACAGCAGCAGAACTAAAGCGGCGATTATGGGTAATCAATAATATGCTATGTTGACATCACAGCTGATAAGATAAGCAGTTGTGGTTCTAAAGAGTTGTGAAAACTATTTGCCTCTTACAGATTCTCTTGTCACACTTTAATGTTTGAGATCAATTTATTCATTTCTGTAAATCAACTCAAATAAATAAAGAAGCAGAAGTTTCCAAATGATTAGTTCATTTACTACAGCCTGGGACTACATGGAAAAGTTATTGCTTCTCTTGTTAAGTCTTGAATTGCCTGAGATAACCCACATGATTTAACAATCAGCAGCACAACATTCAGGACACTTCCTGTCAAGCTGCTAAAGCACTGAAGATCTACACCATCTCATTAAGATCAGTACTTGTGATTCAGAGATAAAAATATAATAAAATGACAATGAGAGCATTCCAAGGCCAACAGTACTGCTAACAAAAAAAGGTCTGTTCTGTATCTAGTTGATCCATAAAGCAGCAATAAATAATATAAGGAGAAAAAGGAAGGAAGAATAGAATACATGGATGTAGAAAACAGGGAGGGAAAAAAAGCAGAGATAATTCATGAGAATAGAAAGAGAAAGAAGCAAAGAGAAGAAAAATTGAAGTGCCGAAAGTAGCAACATGGGGCAATACAGAAGGGAAATTAAGAAGTCATGGAGGAAGGAGCTAATGAAACAAGGAAGAAAGGAGACAGTGGAGAGGGTAAAATGTAGAAATAAATTATGCCCATGATATTATTAAGATAGTTATCACACCCTGGAAAAGTAAGAAGTGTAGATTGTGACTTAATAAAAACTATTTTGCAAAGTGTGCTGAATTTTCTCCACATTGACAGAAATGTCTAATGACAGCCTACCAGTTATAAAGTTTAGGAGTCAGTTACCTTCTTACATACAAGCAGGTTGGTTTAGATTAACCTTTTCTCTCAATAAATGGAATCATCATTTCAAGAATGTTTTCCATACTCCGGTTAAATTGATGTAAAATGTTTGATGATCTGAGATATAAACGTGTGGGGAGAGGAAATGCAAAGAGATGTTATATGGAAAATTCTTTTCCACAGTAAAGAGCTGGTCACCCGATCTGTTCAAACATTCAGTTGAAAATAAAACAAGTCCATATAAAATGTTTTTTTGTACTGATAAATTAAAGTAGCAGACATAAAAAGTATTCCTCCTTGAGTTATTGATTTTTGTCTCCGTCTTCTCAAACTCGGTCAGTCGTGGCAGATGACCGCTCATACTGAGCCAGGTTCTTGTTCTGTTGGAGGTTTTTTCTTGTTAAAGGGGAGTTTTTCCTCTCCACTGTTTGCATGCATGCTATGTGTGAGGGTTTTTACTAAATATCCATCCATCCATTATGCAGCAGCTGTTCCTGGGATTATACAAAGAAGAGATCAGTTCAGTAGAATGTGTCTTGAAAAGATTTTGGGTGATTCTTCAGGAAGTTCAGTCCAGACACAGATTGGTCAAAAACAAGGAAACTACTTCATTGAGACAGACAGCGAGACAGATCAGATGAACTGCTGGAGGCCCTGTAGCACCTTCTCTGACCCTCGATTCCCACCTTTTACCTGCATATGTTCACATGGCAGTCAAGTATTAAAGGCAGCTCAACTTCCACCGGAAAAAAACGTAACTGTAACATGCAAACCAAAAAATAATTATAATCGCACATTTCAAAAATCCAAACCAACCTGTAGTATCGGCGTGCTTGATCTGAGACAGAAATTAACATAGCAATTACTTTGAAAATCTTTAAGTACAGAGGAAATCCCACCGATGTGAATCAGCTTCGTTGTGTCCGACTCAGATGCGATCAGAAGCAGTAAACAAAAGGCAACATAAATCCAGCAATCAGAAACTAGTCTGTTAGCATTAGCTCTGCACAACTGTTAGCTTCCCTAATACGCTAGCGTAAAAAACTAGCAATCCCATTGTGAAAGGTCCGCCAGTAAGGAGGATTCCGCCCTGACTGTGTTTACCTGTAGTGATGAAGTCCCTCAGGTTAGCAACACGTCGGCATGTTGGAGCCAAAGCCCCACAGCAGCCTCCCAAGAGCCGCGGCCAGCTGGAAGCTAAACAGCTGTTTAGCTCAGGTTGCCTCCTCTTCCCCGGAACGCAACCAGAACCGAGAACATGAAGCTGGCAGAGCCTTTTAGGTTTACAGCGTGTTCAATACGCGAACCCACAGCTCATAGAAACAGCGCACACTGGGGTCACTAATACGCAGCAGTTTAATCAGCAGCGCTTCCCTTTTATTTTAACTAGTGTGTACATACCTAATTTATAGTGACCTCTACTGGTCACCCGATGCAGTCAATGGTAAACATGAACTACTTCGAAAGTAGTAAGTTCCAAGCACGTAAAAGCAAGCGAATAAACCATCTATACAAACAATTTTGGGGTTTTATTATCTGTAAGCCATAATATTGGCTTGAAATACTTCCATCTAACTACTGCAATGTATCTAGTTTTTCCCTATATAAAATTAGTGACATATTTTATTTTATGACATTCTAAATTTGAGATGAAGGCTTACTGCATAAAAGCCTTTATGCAGTAAGCATAAAGGCTTACTGGGGTCGGGGGGGAGCAAGGCTCTGGAATCTATATTCTTCGTATTTTTCATAAACTGATTGATATTCATATTTTAACTCTCCCCATTTTACTCTATAGTCATTGCATTCATGGAAATATGGTTTATTACCTCATCCCAAGTCTGAATGTTGCATAAAGTAAAAACAGAACAGCTTTCTGGATTGATGAAATGTTTTCTTAGCAACACTAACACCCATTCAGCTGGTTTCCAGTCACCTCATCAGGGGTTCATTCTATGGAGGACCAAAACAGACATAATAAGAAATAAAATATATGTGTA